GTATAATATTATTTTCGAAGACGATAAAAACGTAAAAGGAGACATAAAATATTGGAGTTTAGATATTATTTTGCAAATGTTAATTATACAACCTATTTCAGGTTGTTGCGATGAGTAATTTGGTAGCAGCCGTAACAGTACGGTATAGGACACAAGTTGTAATTATGGCTTTCATCGCAACTGCAATTACTGTTGCTTTTTGTGTATTACTGGCTTGTACAAGCGTGAGTTAATTAAATCATCCATGTATGGTATTTTGTATGTTATTTTTTTATATGACTGAAGTATAATTATCGTTGTGTATTTCAGTTTGATTTTACGCAATGGTATATTTACGTAGTTATCATAGCAATGGTATTTGCGGGGATCTCAATAGTGTGCTCTATCACAATGTTGGGGATGGGCATAAAGATAAAACCATTACAGCTAATCTTGTTATGTGTTGGCACACTTATACAAGTTGTTGTAAGTTTAAGAACAATTTTGGTATTTTTTTTTTAAGATTATCCAGTTACGAACTTATCCATATTAAATATTTATCATTCGATATAGTTAAGCACTGGTCCTAACAAACTTTTTTATTAATTTTAGTCAGAATATTTGTGTGAAACAACATAATAAAATTTAATATAACTTTAATTCCAGGTGTTAATTATAGAATTACAAATGATCCTTGGCGGTCGTTCAATTGAAATAAGTGAAGATGATTACGCACTTGGAGCGTACATGCTTTACACTTCAATTGTAGAAATTTTTTTGCACTTGGTTCAAATTATAGGTATTGTGGATAAATAACTAAATTTTTATCTTTTGAATGCATTTTGTTATAGTGGTTTATTTTTTGTTATTTGATAATATTATATCAATGAAAGTATTATCGTGTCTATGAATTATATTATTTATTGACATAGTTTTAAAGTTTTCTATAGATTTAATATTTTAACATTTGATATTTGTTTGTGCAATAAAAATATATTTTTTTATTTTTTTCATTTTCTTATGAAAACAGTTTATGAATGTTATGTTCCTTATAAAAAAAACTTATATAAAAAGACCAATTTTATACAAAGCAAATGTTTTACTATAAATCATTTCAATAGAATTTTTCAATCTTGTAAACAAAGCGATTGACAACGATTTATTTCATTCTTATGTACAATTGAATATCAGTCCTAATAATAAATAAATCTCAATGAACCCACCATTGTTTTTTAACCATCTTTTATAATTAAACAAACGCTATATATAAATTATTTTTATAAAATTATTTTGAACACGAAAATTTATAACATTTGTCAAATTGAAACGATCCTTTTTTACACATCAAAGTCTATTTATCTTTGAAAAGTGAGTGTAGTATATGGTAAATATTTAATGAACTAGTTTTAACTTGCGACTTTGTCTGCGTTATTTTAAAAATTAGAAATGTATAGCTGAATGGTCGAACTCTGTTCCTCCTTAAAGGCAATAAATGAGAAAATTTTGGATTTTACATTTTTTAAGGTGGTTCTAAACTATCTCTCCACCAACTTTCAGCGTAACCCATAAAGCTGAACTTGAATTATAAATAGTGTAACTAAATGACTTTCTTTTATATATAAAGATATTTATAATCATAATTATTTGAACTTTAACCAACCTACAAAATATTTTTAAAAGATCTGATTATAAAAAACACAATAGTTTATTTAACAGACTACGATGAAAATCAGCTGAAACTATTTTTTTCTGGTATTTAGCATGAGGAATTAAATATAGATACCGCTAAAATGTACTAATTAATCATTTTTTTTAAATCGTTTAGCTCGTAATATTTATTGAGCTTTAAAATTCGTGACATAAATATTTCTGCTCTGAAGACTGACTTCCAAATATCCTCGGGGATTTTGTATTGTTTACTTCATCATTATAGTCCAATCCGAAGCAGCTCTAAGGATGAAGTAAGAATTTACGTTTGATTCTATAGCCCTAGTGCTTTCTCTCACAAAACCCGACTGTTCGCCGAATGTCTAACCGCTTCACGTACGATTTCCAGAACCCTATCCTGACGATGCAAGTATTGACCGCTGTCTAGGAGTATCTTATATCCCACTAGTAAATGCTTAGCAGTTCCAGTCGTTCTGCATTTTTAATGTCACTCAAAAAAGCTCACTAATAAATACATAGCAAAATAAGAATAAGAATAAATTGTAATATTTTTTTTAATAAATACTTTAATACAATAATTAAGATTAAAGTGTTTTTTAAGTGTGACTTGTCATCCCTTAGTACTCACATCACTAGGGGATGACAAGTCACTGTCAATATCAGCTGATCACATTTGTTTACAAGATTGCTAAACAATTTTATTGAAATGAACTATATGTTCTCAAAGTTTGCATCATTACCGCTACATAACTTATTTTGGGCTTTATACTGAACATTTACAAATTAATCTTTTTCTATTGGTAAATATTATAGAAGAGGTTTCAACTAACATACACTAGGACAGCTGAAACCGCTAATGTCTGGCACTTCCAAACATAAAATTACATAGATATGGAGGTTAGAAGGAAGTGAAAACGAGTCCCTTGTCAGTAATCTGACACATAAGAGATATTTGAGCACAAATAAATCTTTACATAAGTAATTAAATACATAAATTGTTCTTTCATGGTTTTGAATTTTCGCCCTAAATGAAAATAAATCCACAATTAAGAGAATTAAAAATATAAGCGGTTATTAATTTTCCAAGAAATGTGAGAAGTTTGTTTAGTAAACGTTTCAAATGCAAAATACATTGCTCTTTTATTTTTTTTAATAAAAAATACCTATTATCAAAATAAGTTGTCCAAATGTTTATTTGGACAGCTTATCACTTATTTGACAACTTTAATACTGATATTTAAGTTTTTCATACGAGTATGTTACCTATACGGTCTAAAAATTATTCTACCAGATGAGAACGATCGCCCAAAAGTTCCAGAACTTAAGATTTAAAAATTAAAAAAATAATAAAAAAAGAAACAAAACTATTTTATTATTTTATAAAAACGTTTTATGAAAGTATTTCGAATGTATAGCAAAAACGCATGATAAGTACAAATAAAATTTTAAAAAGCTTTGCTAAAATTTTATCTCAATGCGTTTCAGATGACTCTCCCAGAGTAATTGTGCCCATAATCACGATTGCTAGAGAGTTACCGAAATAGTAACAATTTTTAAAACCTTAAAATCGCGAAGTAAGAATCTAAAAGTATAATTTCCTTATATGTATGTCGGTCAAAATCTTAGCCATCGTCGTATGAGACGAAACCTCTTAACATTCAATGGATTCACCGTGCGGTCACCGGGTTCATCGCGTTGCAGGAAGAGGAGCTTCAACAGTGCCTAGGACTTGCGACCCAGGTGTAGGTTTAAGGGGTCCCTTAAACGTACACCTAGGTCTCTAAAGGGCGTTAAACGCTCACCTCCAACATCTAAGCTCCTCTTTCTACCTAACCAAATTTGAGAAGAACCACCTAGGGCTGCCTTAGAAGTGCATTGCAAGAATAAATTAATGTGAGTTCTGGACAGGCCCAAGTCTTTTGTAAAGTAGTAGAGAGATTTAGCCGTAATAAATACCGCTCCCACTTCTACCGCGTACAATTCCACGACGAACCTATTTCAAGTGAGTTTGTTAGTAAGCTCGTAATATTAATTACATATTTACATTGAAATTTATGCACCGGTTTTTATAAGGAAATGAAAGACTTAATTGGTCTCCAGAATTAGCTCACTTTTTTACTTTATTTATTTGTATTACTTAAATTTATCTTCCAAATATTGCCTATCCTATAACTCGGTTATTGCCTTGTCATATTGTAGTATGACGGATTGTCGCTCAATCTGAACTAATTTCAAATGATTCTGGGTATTCTGGCTAGATTGTTGTTGGTAAGGATAACTTTAAAATGATGCGTTCAGATGCTTAATGTTCAGCATCGCATAGGTGTTGGGCATTATGAAACACAGATTTGCAAAAAGTATTATTAGGTAACTGACTAATCTTATTAGGTAACTGACTAGTTTGGTAGTGTGATTTCCTATAAGGTTACCTACCTATGTAATATGTGAAGTGTCTAGAATCAGTTCATAGAATATTTATTTATTATTTATAGTATTTTAGTTTATTGAAAGGACTGATTACAATTATGTCAAGAAAGGTAAAATAAAATGTGTCTCTAATCTTTAGAGCGATTTTTTTCAGGGGATTAAAACGATTTATACGAAACATTCAAAATTTCCTTTAGTTGCTATAAAATTAATTATTAGGAATTTTTAATATAAATAAAGGTATTAATGTTTTCCGACTGCTTTGAAACAATAAGACTTTGACGAGTATTCATTCAATAAAAGTATAGTGCGTTTGATTTAAGCTGAGCTTTGCATTTGTGTGAGTGTACACTGATAGTGTAGGTGTGTTGTCAAATTTTTGAATGCCGCGTTCTTTTCTGGTTTTGAACCGGTTTATACTGCATTTACTCCGCCCCGCACCTTCCGCACTTCACCCTTTGTACTGGTAGCAAAATCAAATGTTGTAAACGCAATGTCAAGTGAAGAAGAGTTTGTATAGTTTTTTCAAAATTTTTATTAATTAATATTTTTTTTTCCATAATATTCAAAATATGTCCATCTGGCCTTTTACAAGTTTTGCTTATTTTATAGCACTTATGTTATATATCTATTTAAAATATAGTAAAATTTAGTTCTAAAAGTTTTTTTGTCTAACTCTACTTTTACTTTCACTCACACAAATGCAAAGCTCAGCTTTAGTCTAACTGACTAAAATATTTTCGGATTTACTACGCTACTACGTTTGTAATTATTGTAACTACATACTCCTGATGTTTTGGTTACTTTGCGGCAACCGTGATCACGGGCAGACTAGATGAAAAACTTCTCATCTTCTCGTAATAGTAGTCAATCCGAAAATATTAGTTTTACTTCTTTTAAATCCTATTTGAAGTAAACTTACTTACTCACTTTCTTCGGCGCCACAACCCTTTGTGGGTCTTGGCCTCTTCCACAATAGACTGCCATGCGCGACGATCCTTGGCTGTCCTTCTCCAGTTCATAAAACATTTCAGAGCCTTGAGATCATCTTCGATGCAGTCGCACCATCTCTTTCTCGGCCTTCCTCTAGGTCTCTTTTGCTGCGGCTTCCAGTCGGTCATAATCTTGGGTGCCCTGTTTTTGCCCATCCTCTCTACGTGCCCAGCCCATCTCAGACGCTGTGACTTGATGAATCGGACGATTGTTTCTCGGTTCATGAGTGCCTCCAGCTCGTGATTCATGCGTATACGGTAGTCACCGTCTGCGTCTTTCACTGGCCCAAACACTTTGCGCAGAACTTTCCTCTCAAACACGGCGAGCTTTTGGGTTTCCAAAGCTGTTAGTGACCATGCTTCACACCCATAGGTGGTAACGGGGCGTATTATGGTCTTATAGATAGACAGCTTGGATTTTGCACTAAGATATTTTGATCGGAAATGTTTGCTGAGAGAGTAAAAGCATCTACTGCCAGCCATGATTCTGGCATTCACCTCATCTCCAACCCTATTCCGGCTGGACAGTATCGACCCCAGGTACTTAAAGATGCTGACTCCTTCAATTGTATCATCTCCAATGGTGACATCCTGTAGTGGACGAGGGTTGCGCGTGCTATGAAGGTACTTCGTTTTGATTGCGTTAACCATCAATCCATACTTTGCCGCTTCCTTCTGGAGAGTTGTGGTGTGTCTGATCATGCTGCTTTGAGACCTGCTTGTGATAACGATATCATCCGCATAGGCGGCTAGCTGACTGGTGTTATAGTCTAAAAGCCCTTTTACTCCTACGTTTCGGATGGCTGCCTCCAGCGTAAGGTTGAAGACAACAGTAGATAGGGCATATTTGATATTTTGAAGTAAAATAGGGGTTAATAGTCTGTGTGAACAAAACTTCAAGTTACTGTAATTTGTATGATATTTTTATGGAAACTCTTCAATTATAAAACCTATTAAAAATTATAAGTATTATAACTGCAATTCCAGAGTAAAGATTCTTAAATTATTAGTTTATTAGTAAGATTTTAAAAAATATATTTGAAATTTCAATTATTAATTTTAAATTACTTATGAAAAAATCAAAGTATGATACTAGATGACATAAAGCAAAAGTATAGCACTGATAATGCTTTCCATCGGAATAAGGAAACCTCGGCTTTGAATAACCAGAACCTTTAATAAGTTGAAATCCGGGACAGACATAAGTATATTGTTATTTTATAATATATCAGTAAATATATATGTGTAAACTGTAAATATTTAAATAAATTTAATCCAGTTAAGATATATAAAATGCGAAAAGTAATAACTATCAATGGTAAAGTGAAAGAATGAGTTTTTGCGCTGTAGAAGCTATTTTAATACTGACAAATAAATTACCTTAGTATTTTGTCATATTACAATAAAAATCTGTAATTGTTCTATGAACGGGATAATATGTCTACAAGGAACGACTAAGTTCAGGCGATAATGTAAATGAGACTAAAATCAATAACAGTAGAGAAAAATATATACAAACTATTAAACGCGGCGGTACGTACGGATGACGCTGATAAGTTCTGTACAGTGGAAGTACTGAACTTCCTAAATTTAGACAAATAGTTTTTACGTAAGTATTAAAAACAATACTTTTTTTAAGACTACAATAATTAATTAGTTGTCAAGTTGTTTAAATATTGTGCATAATAATTATTTTTTAAATTATGATGATACATATTAATTGAGTTTTTCTATAACGTTTTGATAAAAAATGTTTTTTTTTTTGTTATATATGTACTTTCCTATCTAAAAATATAAAGACCTATAGATATATTCTGATTTGAAAATTTGAAAATGGCAGTTTTCAGATAAATTTAATTTGGAGCATACCGTCATATAACGGCATGTTCATTATTTAGATATAGAAATTAGGGCAGTTGTTGACGTTAATTCGGTTTTATCTAAGCAACGCTCACCGCACATCTTTATGTCCCAACAACACCAGACTTTTAATACATGGATGCTAAAAGTCACGGCAATATTATTATTATCTTTATAGATTTTTATTGGGAATATAATGTTTCCAAATCTTATAAATGCTCTATTTTAAAATATAATCCTGTATGTTATAAAGAAGAAACAAGTTTGACCGTTGTCAACGTGACACATAATCTGTTATTATAATTTAAACTGCTGTTTATGAAACTTATTTGCATATTTTGTATTTGATTTCGTAATCATATTATGGAATGAATTATTCACAAGAGGACGATAGAAAAAATGATAATTCTCAAATTCAACGAAGTAAACAACCAAACACTGTTGCTAATAACAATGAAACTGTTATAGTACTAAATGAAACATGTAGAGAATCGAAAATTTTAGATGAGAGTACTGAAAGAGAAAATGATAACCAGAGAAAAGAATTCGTTGTTGTTACCCTTAATGACAAATGTAATGATAGTGTGAATAAAGATAATGAACAAATAGAAAAACGTAATGAATTTCAAGTTACCGGTAAAGACAGGAACGTAACAACAACATGGGTTCAATTTAATAAAAGTAAGATGAAATATTTTCATTCTTTTTAATTTATTATAATCATTATTTTTCCACTTAGGAAAACGAATTTGATGTTATCTAAGTTAAACTTTGTTCCCAATCAAATAAAAGCTACAATTTTTTTATATTAGTATTAAGTTGTGGGTCATTTTGTTTAATGCATTATAACAATTCAAGTTTATGGAAAATCGCTACCACATTTTGGCGGATTTGGTGGAGCAGACGGGGGAGGAGGATATGGTGGCTCTCCCATGGATTATGATCCAGCGTCCCGGAACTACTTTGTGAAATTTGTTTTTATGGTTTTGCTTATAATGTTACTCATAACAGCCGGTTTTGCTGTCATGGTTTTAGTTACGTAAGTCCTTTACTAATATAGTTGTATCGTATGTTATGCACGATATATTTTGTGTAATGTTTAATATTCCATATTAATTTTAGGCCGGGCTTGAAAGAATTTTATTTAAGAGCCGGTTTATTCATGATGATAATATCAATGTGAGTAATGAATTTTTTCTTCGAAACTAATGACTTCTTAGACCTCACTTTTTGAATTATTGTTTAAATATAATTTTATCGCCGTTTGACTTTAACCTTAACACTTTAGGGGCATCTTGATTGCTATGAATTATGTGATGGTTTGCTCAGCATGCGCTAGAGTTCCGCCTTGCAATTTCATATGTCTTGTTATTGTAGTGAGTATAACATTCTTTTTGAATACGATAAAAACTTAAAAAGAGACATACAATGTTGGAATTTAGATATTATTTCGTAAATGTTAATTATTCAATCTATTTCAGTTAGTCGCGATGAGTAATTTGGTAGCAGCCATAACAGTTCGGTATAAAACACATATTGTCGTTATGGCTTTCGTAGCTACTGCAATCACTGTTGGTCTATGTATATTATTGGCTTGTACCAAAGTAAGTTACCCACCACTTTTACATATACATAACCACTAAAATGTTTATATTGTGAAATATTAATAATTTTTATGTATTTTAGTTTGATTTCACGCAATGGTATATTTACATAGTTGTCATTGCGATGGTATTTGCGGCTGTTGCGATGGTGGCCTCTATTGCAATGATGGTGTTGCATGTGAAACTGAAACCTTTGATGCTTGTGTTATTAATTGTCGGCACTCTTATACAAGTTATAGTAAGTTTGAGATCAGCTTTAATATATTAATACTTAAAGAAGTAACTTATTCTAAATATTCGTCGTACGATTCGTAATTTGTTTTGTAGCACAAGTCCTGGATATACAAAAGAAAAATCATTAAAATCGAATCTAGTACATATTTGTATGATTAAATCAGACAAAAATACGCTTTAATATGGAATATATAAGGTAACCAGAAAAGTTCGTGCGGTTTTAAATCATTGTTTACTTATACAGACGGCATATCGCAAGTAAGATAAAGTGGTGGGTAATTTAATATACATTTGAAAGGTTATATTAAAGAGTATCATTTATTGTGTTAGATAAGTTTTTTCACTTTAAAAAAACAGAAAAATTATTGGTAAAGCATGGCTGTGTCAATTATAATAATTCGTTCTTGTTTACGTTACGAATTCAAACATGGCAGTATATTTAACTTATTTTTGTATTAATATCTTTTAACCCTCAAAACCGCACGAACTTTTTTGGTTGCCTAATATATAATTACGCCGCTTATATCATATATTAATATTCTGATTTTGTAATAATTAAAAAATAAACTAAATAAAACTATTAAAGATTTGATAGATAAAAGTTTTCCAATAAAAAACTCAAAATTTAATTTTAAAACATGATAATTTTATGAAATAATTCTATTCTAGGTGTTAATTATGGAATTACAAATGATTCTTGGCGGTCGTTCAATTGAAATAGGAGAAGATGATTACGCACTTGCGGCGTATATGCTTTACACTTCAATTGTAGATATTTTCCTTCATTTAGTTCAAATATTTGGTATGTTAGATGAATAACTGTATTTAAAAAATTGTAAGTTTTTTCATTTGGACTTATTTAATTTCGTTTTGAATAAAGTAATTATTTTTCTGAAAATTTTATTTCTATGTTCTTACGTCCAATACGATTGAATGAGACGGATTTACGTATTTAAATTCTGTAATGGAGCATCCTTTGTGTGATAAAAAGTATAAAAATATTTTAAACTCTTACATGAACATAGTTTCTAAATTTAATCTTTTATAAAATAAATGTGATATATGTGCTTTAATTTTAGCTTATTTTCCTTAAATTCAATAATCTAAATACAGCTAATAAATCTTATAAAACAAATATACGATGTTTGCGAGCTAGCTGCATCACTAAAACATAATTAATTAGCCCAATAGCGATATGCATATTGTATGTTGGGAACAAGTTAAGATTTACAAATTTATGGCCTTAAAGCTACGAGTACACTATGGATGCAATTAATCTTTCCCTTTCTAGTAAATAAACTAAGTTAAAATATTTAGTACAGTATGTAATAGACGTAACTCTGAGAAAGACTTATGTGTATAAATTAAAAGATAAATTGAATTTCTTATATTTCTATGGGGTCTTGGTTCATATTGATTATATTTTTTTAAAAGAAATGTTAAATAAAGATAATTTTCAATATATTTTAATTTATGATCTAAATTATGTATATATATTATACTCATACTTAGTATATAATATTATTAATCAGCCGTTCTGAGAAAAATATTTTGTAATCTTAAAAAACAATGTCTTTACTAACCTCTAAGACATAATTGAAGAACTAACAAATCGTTTTGGTACCTCTTTTTGTCTAATTTTTTCTCGTGGTGAAAGGTTTAAGACGCTTCTAACAGTTTTATTATTATTTGATTCACAGTTTCATTACTTTTATTCATTCATGAAATGTACAAATATTCAAACTTTGTATTTATTTTTTTGTCTCTATATGCGGGCTTATATGGTAAAGTAATTACAATATGTTCATATTATATTAGGCTAAATTACATTTTATTTATCATATCAAAGCTCAAAACCTTATAACCATATTTAAATATCGTTCTAGATATTTCAAAAATTAATCTTCCTGAGAGTATCTGAAAAGTTGAATTTTATTTAAACATTACACAGGGCTAAAGGACTCAAAGGTAACTGGAACTCAAACATTCAAAGTATTTGCCTTTTCTGTTTTCGTTATATGATATGGTTAAAGATTTATATTATCTCGCATCTTGGATATAAAATGTAATCTACAAAGTTGATAAAAGGGAAAAACGATGTTAAGTTTTAATGACAGTGAGAATAGGTTATTAGTCCAAAAATAATGACTAAATAAAAAAGTATTTATCATGAACATATAACTGATATGATAAATATATGAAGTGTACATGTTTATCAATTTTATAGATACAGATAATTGTTTAAAATATATATATTTAAGTTGCTGAGAGCTATTGGTGCAATAGAACCAGGGCCATATAGTTCTTCTTTTACAAAAGTTACTAAAACGACTATTTGACAAACAAATTTCATAGGTGTTTGGATAAGAGATAAACCGTTACTTTTTCGTAAGTACTAGACGTTAGGATGACTTCAGAATAACGATATGTATGGATTAATCCATTTCTACATAACGTACCAATTAATATATATATATATTTATCCAAAATTCATACTAAGAAGGCATTTCAATGGCAAGTGTCCTTGTTGTATAACTTTAAAAGAACACGCCCACATACTGACGTACAATACCTTGGTATTAAGTAATGAATAATACCTTGGTATTAAGTACTGAATAATTCAGTAAAACGTCGTTGAAATTATAATGAAATATATAATGAAATATGTAAATAGACAAAATATTGAGAATAAATTACTTTGGAAAGAACAGCAGTGAACTTTTTTGGGAGATTTTACATTTTAATCGCAACATATCTGTAGAACAGTAACAATTTTATTTTCTAAATAAAAAAAATCAGCTTTAGTTTTAGATTTATTTCGATTATTAGGTAAAACCACCATTCCTCAATTGTATATATATTTCGTTGCCTATATATAAGAATATATGTACAAGTATTTTGCCTAAGTTTTCATCACTTGGTGTGATGTGATTATTTTCCAAATCGTTTTTTTTTTCTCTATAATTTTAATTTTTACCAAAAATATTACGTGAATAAGAACATAACTTAAAAAATACTTATCGGAGAGGATAATTTACAGGAAAATTATAAAACATATTTTTCAGTATAACATCGCCGATAGCTTTAACGGAATTACTGTTAAACCTAAAGTAATTACTGTAGACTCATTTCAATGTTTATTTATTAAAAATAAATAATATTTAAACATTTGTTAATAAATGGTTTTAAAAAACTGATATAAGGTAAACTTTTTGTGACTTATTTTAATTAACTAAGTATATATTACGAGGATAATGGACTTAAACCAGCTTATGTCGAACACTGCACACAGTTTTTTATTCGACATTAACTTTTAATTAAATCTTACAAACTGTATTAAAAAACAGTTTGAACTACTTTAATACGTACCTGATTACAATAAATGTGAATATTCCGGACAGAAAAATGTAATGAGCAGTTCGGGCTTCTATTTAGTCCAATTTACCAAATGTTTTAATGATATATACATATTAGAAATACGATAAGAACTGGAAACCTCTATTATACATATTTGGGTTTATAGAAATATGTTCCGTTTTAAAACGCAATACAATAAGTACATACTGTTACATAAATCGAAAGCCGTGATTAATAATAAATATACATATGTATATTTAGAAGGTAATGTTTCTTCACCAATCCCCTGATAACTTAACCTGTGTTATGTTCGTGTAAGTTAGTTGTCAACTTGATATTTAAGATGCTAAAATATCAGTACGAGTTACTTAAAGCTTCAATATTTGATCAGACTATTTGTTCTGAAGTAGAATATTATTGTATTGTATTATATTAAGTGAAATTATTGTGATTAGTAATGAAGTGGTTAAAAAAGAAAAAGATTTTGATTCTACGTAATAGCAATACAGTGCATATGTGTAGAAAACACATCTGGGGGCTTTCATTAAAGTAACTTTCCAATCGCAGACTACTTGAGTTATTCGAGTTACGTGAGATGGTCACAGAATTTTTATCTAAAATAAATTAAATTCTCAACATAAATTGTGATATTTAATTTTATTATTATTTACTTCCATTCCTTTATAAATATTGTTTTAAATTAAGTTGTTTATAGTATCAAATTTAAATGTCCGCAGATGTTCAGGAAAATGAAGAAGGGTGAGCATATTGTGCAGTATAAAATTATTTAGGTATGTATATTAGAGTAATTATTTTATTTTTACGGTGACTGTTTTGATAATAGTAATTTGAACAAATAATTCATAATTTTAACTATTTTGAACTTGATATGTGCAGTTTATAATAATTAATAATATCATACAACGAAATCTCTCGAATCCTTCTGACAAATGCAATATTTAACGTTGAAATATTATCACCTATTGTGAATGTTATTTTCGGGGCTATTTAAAATTTTGTTTATATCAAAATTATGTGGAGTCATTCAAATTCATATAGAAGAGGAGAACTGTGTATATAAAATTTTATTTAAAAAAATGTAGGTCAAATATTTGAGGCATAAATATATATTTTTTGTAAATGACACTTACATTTTCGAAAAAAAAATGTTTTTAGAAAACAGTTGTCTCAACATTTATTATTTTTCCTAACTTTTCCTAACCACTTTATGTATATGTATATGAAAAAGATAAAAATACTAATGTATTGAACGTGACAATAATTATAATTGCATTAAATAGTCAGCAATTCATTTAACGGAACCTAAATAAGATTAAAAATCGGTTATAAAAGAAAGTTAATGTTGTTCTTTAAATCTTAGTCATATTTTATATAATATGGAGAAGAGATGTCAGTCGGTCATCACACTAATATACATATATATATTTTACTTTTCTCATACTGTCCAAATCGTAAGAACAAAGCTGATATCTAACAATATATGTATATAAATTTTATATCAGAGAACTATAAATATGTGATATGTTAAAAGTAGCAATAGTGTAATTCTTTAAGGTAAAAAGGATAAAATGTTAGTTGTCTTATCCCAAATCCCAAACTGGTTAGCGCTAGATATTTGTTAAATAATATCTACATGTAAGGTATGAAATAATTAACGAAATGATAGATTAAATAACCAATTCTTACGGACCTACATAAATATAACGGTAAACATATATTTATGGCTTTCAGTTGTCTATAGAACTTTTTCTATTGTAATAACTTTTGCGTATAGTGTTATATATTATAATGTGAAGTTTTGTGATAAAAATTTAATAATTTAAGTATAATTATTAAGACGAAACATAAAAAAAAGAATAAAACCGTGAATGTCATAAAAAGAGCTACGCAATTCATAACCAAAAAAGTCGTTTTTAATAATACAGAAAGTAATCTGGTGAAGAAAATGGACTGAATACCTAGTTCAAAATCAAAATTATTGATAGTTTAGTTGTAATGTTACTTTTCTAGAACTTTTTTTATAAAATTAGTAGGTAGATAAACTTCAGTAACTTTATTCGAAGCTATTTGTCTCTAAAAATACAATATAAATACTTTTAAAAATCTCTTGTATTTATCACACCATTTAATAATGGGTAGTCTCTTAAGTTTCTGTCCTTTTTATTTTTATTATAACTGAAGCATATAAATAATTTAAATAATAATAACTTTGAAGAACCTCTGTTTGTCTGCTTGATGGAATTTGTCAGCTGTTTATTTGAACTGAAATTTGTTTCTTTTGTGCATATTAAGTTCAATAATGCCTATATACGAACAAATATTGTAAGTCAACTCCGGTAGTTTTGTTATAAACATATAGTCAGTTATAGATTTTGTTGATTATATGTATATCTACAAATGCACTCTGTATTATTATAGATTTTGAAATCTTATTAAAAATT